AAGTGTCGAGCTCGATAAAGAGATGCAACCTTAGCAGATGCTAATTTTGCAATGGATTTGATATACGGTTTAAAAGAAAGATCAGAAGTAAGAGTTAATCCTAGAAGATGAATGGTAGATGACTCATCTAGTACATTACCATTCATAAATATAGGAAGATCTAAATTATTACGATAACGATTGGCCGAATAAAATTAAGTTTTATCTGAATTAAAGTTCACCAGCCACTGTGAGCCCCATGCTGTAGCAGAAGTGAGATCCTTTTCAAGCTCAGATACCCCCTCCAAGCAATCAGAGAGTGTAGGCTTCTTATCATGACAAGAGTAAATGGTAGTGTCGTCAGCGAATAATGCCACCTTAGATGTGAGAATATCTGGAAGATCGTTAATGTAAATTAAAAAGAGTATAGGGCCAAGGATTGAACCTTGAGGAACCCCTGAAGTTACAGGATGTGAAGAAGAGTGTTGTCCATCGAGGACAACTTTTATACTACGATTGGAAAGAAAGGACTCAATAATCTTAAAGACGTTACCAGCTACACCATAAGAAGAAAGCTTATAAAGAAGACCAGCATGCCAAACTTTATCAAAAGCTTTAGAAATGTCAAGTGCGATAGCCTTAACCTCTCCACCTCTATCTAATGCACGGTAAAACCTATCGGTTATTACTGTTAGCACATCAGCTGTAGAACGAGAAGACCGAAATCCATATTGATGATCAGAAAGTAAGTTATTTGATTCAAGATGAGAGATTAAGTGTTTGTTGATTAAAGATTCAAAAACCTTGCTTATGACAGGAAGAAGACTAATGGGACGGTAGTTAGATGAATCAAATCGCTCTCCGGAATTTTTGAAAATAGGGATAACAGATGCTGCTTTCCAGCATGATGGAAAACAAGACTCTGATAAGCACTTGTTAAATAGTTTAGAAAGTATGGATGAAAGCTCCGGAGAACACCTCTGCAAGACTACAACAGGAATGTTGTCAGGACCACAAGCTGTTGAAGAGTCTAAGCAGGAAATTACTTAAGATACAGAAGCTGAAGTGATGCGAATGTCAAGCAAGGGATCAACCTGTTTGACGGCTATGTCAGGTAAAACACAACTAGTGGAATCAAGAGATGATATTGATGAAAAGTTCTTAGCAAACAATTCAGCTTTGTCTTTAGGTGAGGTGACAAAGTCTGAACCATACAAGAGAGAAGGAATAACAGATTTGCCCTTATTATTGATACTGTTAAAGATTCTCCAGAAGTCTCGAGAGCCTAATTTTTGTGATGAGACACAAGATTTAATGACCTGGGAATAGCGAGCTTTGGCATCAGACAAAATTTTTTTTACAATGGTTTCTGGCGATAGTGAACAGATGTCTGTTTTCTGGAGAATTGTTTTGCTGATAGATATGGAAGTAACGGTTTCGATTAGAAATTGCTGCAGCGCAATGTGAGGAAAACCAAGGAGAAGAGTGAGGCTTGACCTGGAATTGTCGAGAGGGAATAAAAGATTCCATGCCAGCCTGAATCCACGAAGTTATGTAAGAAGCACATTTGTCAGCAGGAAGACGAAAGATTTCTACCCAAGGGCCATCACGAAGAAAATCACGGAAAGAGTCCCAGTCAGCTTTAAGGTAGTTGTATGTGGTACGATGATAGGGGGATTCTGATGAAGTAGAAGAATTTGATAATAGTTTTAGAGAGATCAAACCGTGATCAGAAGTACCTAAGGGTGAATGTGGAGAAATTGAGCACTGACTAGGATCCAAAACAAGACATAAGTCGAGTAGAGAAGGTAAATGATTAGGGTTGTCTGGAAAACGAGTTGGAAAGTTGACTATTTGAGTTTGAGTTAGAGATTGAGAAAGGCAAAAGTTGAGGGCCTTAACGCCAGCAGAGTCACTGACACTAGAGCCAAGCCAATCGGTGTGATGGGCATTAAAGTCACCAACAACGACGATATTGGCCGATGGATAAAGAGAGAGGGCTTGGTCAATTTGATCAGAAATAACATCAAGAATAGTGCAATCTTGGGATGAAGGAGAGCGATATAGAACAAAGAGAAAGGCGATTGAGTGAAGTTGTGCTAAACAAAAGCACATAAATGAATAGTCTGTAGATTCAAACCTAGTTTCACGACAAATGGGTGAGTTCTTACGAATGTAGATGCCCAGGCCAAGCATGTGATTATTGGAGTCTTTACGAATTAAAGGAAGATAACCATCAAAACTAAGATCACAAGATGGGACAGCCGAACTCAAATTAGTCTCACAAAGAGCAAGTAGGTCTGGTGAACTTTGCAAGAGATAAGACTCAACAGAAGAAAAGTTACTTCGAAGACCACAAATGTTAGTAAATGATAGGTTTAGAGAACTTGGTGATGACAATGGTTTTTTGTGTTTTTCAGTTTTAGGTACTTTAGTCATTTTAAATTTATAAAGAACTTGACTCAAGTATAGATAGTACTCAGTACACTATTTAACAACTAAGCAATAGCCTCATTACTATTAATAAACCTTAAGCCGTAACAAAGGGCTCCAAATGTGGCCTCTGCAATGCACACCAAAAGTACAAACAGGGACACCATCCATGCGCAACATGGCACTGTTAGTACTCTGATATTTTTCGGCTGTTGATGGAATCAGCCTCTCTGAGAGCTACCACAGAGTTCGGGAAACCTGACTACCAGCCGGCCTCAGAACCATAAAACTGAGTTTTAGAGCTGTACCCTCATTAGGAGATAATAGAATGAGTTGCCCAGTCATAAAAATAGAGACACAAGCAATACCCACGCATTGAGTCAAGAAGATCCAGCGTTCAACATCCTAAACTGGAAACAATGTATTAAAAATACATCTGCGCCAGCCTAATAGATGAGGAAGGGGTGCGAGGCTGGTCAACAGATAGAATCTGTTTACCCCTTAAGTCTTTGCCTAGGAGGCCTTCTACAAGACAGCAGCTGGATGCATGTAACATCTGCCCAAGATGAGTATTTTTATTGAGACACCATCTCTAGCCTTTACTCAACCAAGAGCCTCAAGGCAGGGGGTGTTTTAATTCGGAGTTAACTTCTCCTAGCCTTTGCCTAAAAAAGCGTATCCTACAAGGCAGCAGGACATGAAGCAGGTTGTACTGGGTTACATGTTACCAGTAGCAGGAAAACCTGACCTGACATTATATATATATATATATATATATATATATATATATATATTTATTAATTATATATATATATAATATTAATATTTTAATATTATATTAATATATATATTTTTATATATATTAATATATATATATATATATATATATATATATATATATATATATATATATATATATATATATATATATATATATATATATTAATATATATACAATATAACATTAATATATATATATATATATATATATATATATATATATATATATATATATATATATATATATATATATATATATATGTATATATATATATATATATATATATATATATATATATATATATATATATATATATATATATATATATATATATATATATATATATATATTTGATAAATGATTTTATACTTATTTTAGACCTCTCTATTTGTAGGCGAGAGGCTGCATAAGCGCCAATTGCATAACTTTTTTGGCTTAACTGCGCCAAAACATTTTGCAAACATCAGCATAAGTGCTAATTGGTATTAGTGGGAACTAGCATAAGTGTGAATCAGTTGCAAAAACTGGCATAAGTGCGAATTGGCATAAGTGCGTTAAACAAATTTGCAAACATTGGCATAAGTGTGAATTGGCATAAGTGCAAAGCAGTTACAAAAACTGGCATAAGTGCGAAGCAGTTACAAAAACTGGCATAAGTGCGAACTAGCATAACTGCGAATTGGCATAGGTGCGTCAAATAAATTTGCAAATATTGGCATAAGTGTGAATTGGCATAAGTGCGAACTGGCATAAGTGCGAAGCAGTTACAAAAACTGGCATAAGTGTGAACTGGCATAAGTGCAAATCGGCCTAAGTGCGCAAAATAAAATTTCAAATATCGACGTAAGTGCAAATTAGTATTTTGCACTTATGCCAATGTTTGAAAATTTGTTCAGCGCACTTATGCCAGTTCGCACTTATGCCAGTTCACACTTATGCCAGTTCACACTTATGTCAGTTTTTGCAATTGCTTCGCACTTATGCCAATGTTTGCAAAATGTTTTGGCGGACTTATCCAAATTTGCACATATGCCAGATTGCACTTATGCCAGTTTTTGCAACGCTTCGCACTTATGCCAGTTCGTACATATGCAAATTCGCGATTATATCAGTTTGTGTTTATGCCATTCGCACTTATGCCAGTTCGCACTTATGAAATTTGCGCTTATTCAGTCGTCCCTTTGTAGAGTATATTTAAAATTATTTGTGTGTGTGTGTGTATATATATATATATATATATATATATATATATATATATATATATATATATATATATATTATATATATTATATATATTCATTTTGATATGAGGTAGCTAGTAGTAATATAAAACTGCTAGTTTAAAAAAAAAAAAGATTAATTTTTGAAATGCTTTCCTAATATTTATTTAAATAAAAAACATATTTGTTATATTTTAATGAATAAACGAAATGCATAAAAAAAAGCATCAACACCTCAAATTGATTTTTTGAAATTTTAATTTTCCTCTCTTTTTGAAATTTTAATATTTTTTAATTTTATGTTTTAAAATAATTATTTTAGTTAAGTTAATATTAAAATCTGTTAGATTTTATAAAATCTGTTTAGAAACTGAAAATTTATAACCACATTTAGGAAAACTAAAATAAATAATTAACATTGACTTTTCTTGACACACGTGCATAGGCAACAATCTGTCAATTTTTATGAGAGAATGATTAACCTTGGGTTGTTAGATGTGATTGTTTTTAATTTTCTTTTTGAAAATACTTCTTGACATTAAATTTTACAACAATTGTTTTAATACAGCTGTAATTTTTTTATTTAGTTCAACCAAGGAACGCGATGAATGGGTTAAGGTATACTATTTACATTTGAATAAAATAAATATTGTTGTAATATTATTTTAAAAGTTCATTTAGTTATATATTTTTTAAGTTTTACATACACCAATTAAGTTTTACAACCAATTAAAAATATTCAAGGAAATACTGATTTTGGTTTAATTTATTAAAATGTTATAAAATTAAGTTCTTGTAATTTTTAAAAATTTTGTCACCTTAGATTTATTTAGGGCTAGAAATAACATGTTTTTATTTCAAGTTTTATGAAATAATTTCAAGTGATATGAAAATTAATTTATATTGTTTTCTTAAATAATAAGCAAAATTTACTTTAATGCATAAATCAGGGGTTAATGGCCGGGGTTAGAAATAAATTTACAATTATTTATATATTATAATTTTATACTTACATTTACTATTGATGATGATGATGACAATAATGATGATAATGATAATGGCAATGACAATGATAATGACGACGATTATGATGACATTGATCATGATCATGATGATGATTGTGATCATGATAATAATGATAATGATGATAATGATGATGATGACGATGATGATGATGATGATGATGATGATGATGACGATAATGATGATGATCATTATGATCATGATCATGATCATAATGATCATCATCATCATTATCATCATCATCATCATCGTCATCATCATTGTGATCATGATCATCATCATCATAATGATCATCATGATCATTAATGATTTTGTATATATGTGTAAACACATATATACAAAATTAAAAATAAATTTTGAAGATAAAAAATGTACATTAGGGTGTATAAATGTTTATGCAGCCCTGGTCACAAACCCGGAATTGGCTCCAGCTATATTTTATCAAACCCAGCCCTGGTCAAATATCAACCCTGGTTACTAACATTGTTATCTACCTTCACTCTTAGACAATGTATATTTAGAATTTATGCATGTTTTTAGTGAGATGTCAAGATATATTTATATATCAGCTGTCCCAGGTTTTGTTTTGAGAGAATAGTACTTCTTTTTTTCTTTTTTCTCCTTTGGATTAAATTTAAAAATATTCTAGAAAATCATATAAAAATTTCTAAGATGAAAGTGGAAATAAAAATTGTTAAAATTAATTAAAAGATTAAATTATTTTGAAGAATAAAAAAAATTTCAAAAACTTTGCTAACATATAATTTTAAATATGCAATAACTATAAAAAAATGTAGTATATTATTACATTTTTTATTTTATTATTAATGAAAAATAACTATATATCCAAAAAAACATTCAAATTATACGAAACATTGCTAACATCTAGATTATAGTCACCCTTCTGAACATCTGAATAAAAATACTTAAATTTGAAAGTTCTTCGAGACTCAGAGCTATCATTATTAGTTTGTTTTAAATTTAGTAGCAAGTTCAAAAATAAAATTATTTTATTTACTATTCTTTGTAATTCCTTTTATCAGGCTTCTGTGTGAGAAAAAATTATTGAAAAATGTTGACATATCTGTTGACACCATAATCAAGTATGTTGACTATCTGTTGACACCATAAATCAATTTGGTTCTCCAGGCAGCAACCTTTTTTTAAGGTTTATGCTTTAGAGTTATAGCATTGAAGGAGGCTTATAAAAATTATGCTTGAATAAAATCCTTTTTGGCAGTGTTGACATTCTTAGCTTTATGAAAGTAAAAAGATATTTCAATGATTCTTCCATGGTTCTGTGATTATTGGAGAAAACTTCTTTATCATTGCTTTGAGTTATTTTTAAAAATGTAAACAACCTAGCAATAATTATGCAAAGTAGCAATTAAAATTTTTAAACTGTTATTAACTTTTTACATTAAGTACCGCAATGGCTCTACTCTGTTATCTTCTTGTTTCAAAGAACAGCTGTACTTTTTTAATATCTTCTTATTTCAAAAACAATTTTATTTAACAAAATTGGATAAAAATTTTCTACCTTTATTGGTTATTTTAATGTACAACATCTTTCAACATTTAGCTAGAAGTGGTAGTGTATATCTTTCAGCTTTTAGCCAGAAGTAATTGATATGTAATATCTTTCAGCTTTTAGTTAGAAGTAATATATATATCTTTCAGCTTTTTACTAGAAGTAATAAAAAAGATTTGTCTTTTTGTTTTAGGGTAAAACAAAAAGCCATAAATGTTTTCATATTGAAGTAGACAAGACAAGTGTACTTATATAGACTAGGTTTAAGATGTATGAAAGAGGAAGTGATGTATGAAAGAGATCAATTACATAGAGTTCTGACTCCATAGGAGCCATAGCCATATGTTTTTAAACAGAGCCAGTGCTGAAGCCATGTTAAAATTAATTGCTGGCTTACATTGCTGGCTCTTGGCAGTTTAAATTCAAAATATTGATTGTTTAATATATTTCTGTTAAGTGAAATCTAAAATTAAGTTTTTCTAACATTTAGAATTACACAGTTAAATTAAACTTTGTTTTTTTTGTTATATGTCAATTTTTATATAATTTTAATATATTTTTAATTCATAAAAAAGGTAATTTCATTTTTCAAAGTTAATTTGGTTCAAAAGTTTAAAAAAACTTAGTAACCAGTTCAAAAAAACATGGGAGCCAGTTCAAAAGAACTTGGTAGCCAGTTCAAAAAACTTGGGAGTCAGAAGTTTAAAAATTTGAAGCAAAAGTCAATCATAATAAGTTAAAAATAAAGTTTTACTTTTTCTTTTGGCTTAACTAGGTTTAATACCTAGTTTTAAGTACTCTTTTATGAATATTAGTTTTTTATTATCCTAAAATGTGTAGTATGCAATTGTATTGTAATCATGTTATTTAAACTTACAGATTAGCTTGATTATTTGTAATTATTGTCAATTATGATTAGCTATCGTAATCATATCATTTAAGCTTAAAGATTAGTTTAGTTTGTAAATAAGAATAAACAACAATAAATTTTGTTTGTTAACAGACTTTGCAGGAGTGTATTGAAGAAGCAAAAAAAAAGATGGGTACGTTTACAAAAGAACCTCCTGTAAGTATTTACAAATGTATGAGAATTTTATTTTTTTATACTAATACTTTGTGTTAGATGCTTTTTAAATTTTGTTTATAAAAATTTTTCTTAAAAACATTAAGTGTTTTTGTAAAAAACAGTGAAATATTTGTTAAACCAAGGTTATGGTGATGGATCTTGGTGATGTTGCTCCTCCATGGATACCTGACAGCAGAGTAACAATGTGTCAAAGTTGTACTCAGGTTTTTAACATATATAAAAGGAGACACCACTGCCGTGCTTGTGGAAAGGTATGCATTAATCTTAAGTTTGTATTTAAGTGTAAAAATAAACTTTAATACTTTAAATTTATTTCAGGTTGTTTGTAGTGATTGCTCTTCGTTTGAAGCTCCTTTGAAATTTATGGATTATGAAGCTCTACGTGTTTGTGAAGAATGCTTTGTAAAGTTACTAACAAGTATGTACAACATTACTCTATTACCAACAACTTCAATGCAAACATTTTTTTTTTTTTTCAGATTTTATATTACTTGAGATTGTTTTCGATTTATTTTCAAAGGATTTAATGAAATACATTTTGAAAATAAAAATGAAGAGATCCATGCCAAATTTAAAAAAAAGACAAAGAAACAGAAAGTTGATCGTAAAAAATTACTCCCTTCAACTTTAACAGAGGTAAATTAAAATTATATTTTGAAATGAAATCAACATTTTGAGCAATCAAGTTTATGTTTTTATGTATTTGTACTTAATGTCTTCACTGTCGCCATTACTACATTTTTTGATTAAAAACAAATTTAATACTCTATATAATGGAATTTTTGAAACTATCATGCTTTGAAAACTAGATTTTATTATTCTTGATTTCACTTAGTGAAGCTCTTACTTATGAAGCTTTAACTTATGTATCTGTTCTAAAGTTTGAATTGAAAGTTTAACTGAAAAAAACTAAACTTTAATATTTAATAAATTAATTATTAATTAAATTAATTGTGAGTTTTTAAAGTTTATTTATGACTAATAGCAAATAATATGTAGTTTATAAAAACAAAAAACTAGTTTTTTTTGTTTGTTTAAACATAGCTTTGAAAAAATTATTAATATTGAATTTAAACTCGGTCAACTATATTATTTTTCATAATTTATGGATTCCTGGGTTCTCATGTGACTTCCTCTGTCTTATATGCAACACTGATTATTATTGTTAATGATGTTTCTGAATTTTATTAAAATGACTGTTTATGTATTAATTTAGTTTTGGTCTTGGTTAATATCACTATGATCGGTTGAAATTTGGACGATTTCAAATTAAATTTTCTAAAAAACCGCTTAATCAATTGTAATGATTTTTTTTATAATGACAGCGCTCGAAATTGCGGCCAATCAATGATCAAAGATTGTCTACTTTGGGAAAAATTGACGTTTTGATTGCCTAAAATTAAATCTAGCCATTCAAATTTGATCGGCAAAAGTTGCTAGTCAAACTTTTGTAATAATTAATACAAAAACATTTTAAATATAGAAAGTTTAAGTTTAATTAGCATCAAAATTATTTTGAAATGAATTATATTCTAAATAAAGTAATGTAGGTAAAAATGGCAAAACAAATAACATGTTTAAATTCTGAATTTAATTTTAAAAAAATTTAATTTAAATTTAATGAATAAAAAATAAAAAGAATAAAAAATAAAGAAATAAAAAAAAATTTAATTTAAATTTAATTTGAATTTAATTTAAAAAAAAAACGGCAAAGTTTTATTATAATTCTAAATAAAATGAAAACGACAAAACAAACCATTTGTTTATTTACTATAATAAAATAAAATAAAAAACGGCACATTGATTATTATTTTATATGTAATTTAATATATAATTTATATTGAAAATTAATTTATATTTTAAGTAAAATAATTAAAATAAAAACGAAAAAATAAATATATATATATTCTAAATAAAATATATATAAAAAAAATGGCAAAGTTTTATTTTGATTCAAAATAAAATGATAAAAATAAAAACGGCAAAACAAACAATATATTTCAATTCTAAATAAAATAATTGAAATAAAAACGACATTGGATTTATTTCATTTCTGAATGAAATAACTAAAATAAATATAGCAAAACTAATGTTAATTTAAATTCCAAAAAAAAATTTAAAATAAAAACGGTAATGTTTTATTTATACTCAAGTTAAAACAGTTAGAAAGAAATACAGCAAAACAGACAATATATATAAACTCTAAATAAAATAGTTAAAGAAAAAACAGCAATGTTTCATACATACTCAAAATAATACGAAAAGAAAAACAGCAAAACCAACGGTATACTTAAATTCTAAATAAAGCTAATAAATTCAAAATGGCAAAACAAACGATTTACTTAAATTCTAAAAAGAATAAATAAAATTATAATTAGTTAAAAGTTATAAAATTATAACAGCAAAACAAAAATCATGTGAGGTAGGATCAAAAAAATGCATTGCTTCTGGTTCGAATATATTCGTAACCAATATTTGGGAATAATTGCTCGAAATTCACTATTCATTATTTGCGAATTGTTGTCAATTATTTGCAAATAATTTTGGTTTTTTTTTTTCGATTTTTTGTGAGAAAATTAATTGGTTCCACCCCATTATGCATAATTCCTGTTATGCATAATTCCTGTCAGAAATTATGCATAACAGGAATTATGCATAATGGGAAGACAAATTAATTTTTTAAGAAAAAAAAACAACTAAATTTATTCCAAAATATTGTTTATTTATTTAAAAAATAAGATATTAGGAATACTAATGCATTCAAAGATTTGTCTGATAATCTTATTTTTGTATAAAAATTAGACGATAACGAAAAAATTATTTCCAATTGAGTAGAGGTTGAATGGATTGTTTTTAATGATTTTTGCAACAATCCGATTTTTTCCGTTTTTTTCCCTGTTAATTTGAATAAATTAAACTCTTGTCTAAGTTTATCAAAACCAGTTAAACTTTGTTTTTCTTTGGTTACTTTTGCGGTAGATGAATTCAATTCATCTAAAAGACTGACAAATTCATTTTCTGGGGATGTAGTTTCTATAACTTCATTACTTTGGTTGCCATCATCGTTGTTTTCAAGAGGATATAAGCGATTTAAAAGTTCTATAGTACCATCCACCATTTGACGTGATTGTGTGGATGGGGGGAGGGGCGTATGTAAATTGCATCAACTTAATCAAATCATCAATGCGTCATTCATTAATTCTGATTTTCACTCTTTCGAAAAATCGTTCTTATAAATCAGTTCCAATATCTGATAATTTTTTGTACAAAAAATTAATAGCGCCTTCAGCTGTAAGTAAATTTGCATCTGAGCTACTTAACGCTTCAACAGTTAGTTTTATTGGTTTTAATACTTCCACAAGATTAGCATAAAAGTCAAAATCTAAGCTATCGTACAGACGAATCTAAATCTTCAAGTGCATTTTTTATACTATTTTGAAGTAATAATGCGCGCTCTAACATCGTATTGATGGAATTCAAACACATTTTCACATCTAGTAACAATTCAACAGTTTTTTGTTGTTCGAGTACGTGTTTTTTTAGTACATTGTTTTTAATGGTCGATTTTTAAAGTATTTAACTACTTTACGTAGAGGCTCCAGCTTTAATTTCATTAAAGATGAAAAATTAAAGGATGATGACTGGTTATCAATAGCCATATCATAATTGGACTCATCATTTTCATCATCAGTAGAATCTGGAGGCGACTCTTTGTTATCAACAACCTCAGAGTTTTCAGTCATAATGTCAATTACAGCCAAATGCAATGCGTGATTATAACACAGTTGGTGCAAGCCACAATATCAGTATCAAAATTAATGTCAAACGATCTTAGATGTTCACGAACTATCATTTGCAATATTTTTGCATCTGCACGACAAGGAATGCAAACCAAACCAAGATTAAAAAAATCTCCATCATGTGTATGAATATTTATATTAAAATATTTTCTCATTTTTACGCTAGTCCATTCGTCCACCGTCAAACTGAATTTTTCGTTGTTCACAAGCATACTTTTCAATTTTTGTTTTTTCTAAAAATTATGAACTAATGTCATTACATCGGAAGGATTTTTTGGCAACACTTTTCCTGATTTGCCAATTTTCTGACGTATAAAATCTGATTACATTAATTGAAAATCCATCTTTAGCTGCTAGTTTTGCAACAATCTCTTCTAAAGATTTTTTTTGATAAAATCTTGAAGAGTTTTTTTATGTTTTTTTGCTTGAGGTGGTTGGCTTTCTGACTCCTGCAAATCCAAATCAATTTTGTGTTTCAGAAACAAGTGATTTTTCATGCTGCTTGTTCCTCTTCCTGTATACAACAATTTTGTATTACATTCCTTGCATACAGTTTTTGTTTTGTCATTTGGATCTAATGTAAAGTGTTTCCATACCTTTGATTTGCTTTAACTTGAATTCATTTTTGTACTGAAAAAAATGCTCAATTTTTAGCAAAATAAAATATTTTTTTATTATATTGCAATCAACTCAAATTAAAAATTCAATCGAAAAATATGCGTGAAGTGAAATCATAAGATTTCCGTATGCATGCTTCTACTGTGAAGCAATGTGTATTTATATACAATGATACAACGTGAAAAAACATGTATTTGATTTTGTACAAGAAATTTTTAACAATTAAATTTAAATTACGTAAATACTTAAATATTTTACTTTTTTTTTTTTAATTTTATTGAATTTTGATTCTAGAACAATAATTACGTTTTTATACAATATACAACTCTCGTAATTCTAACAGGAATTCTAATAAATAACTTTTTTCTTATTAATCGTCTGTATATTTCATCTGTATTTCTATATGATATTTGCATATAGTAAAAAGCTCAAATAATCAGAAACCTTAATTGTAAATTTTAATAAAATTTAATAAAACATTTGTCTAAAAAATTGTCTGATTGTCTAAAAAATTATTTGATTGTCTGGTTTTTAATTTTTTTTATTTCAGCCGATCAATGTTGATCGGCAACCTTTGAATAATTATTTCGAGCGCTGCAATGATGCTTACATAATTATTTTTTTTGTGAGTGGGTTTAGTTTTGTTTACTTTTCGTTAGTTTTTTTTCAATGTCGAGTAAAGAGTCTAAAAGTTGAACAAAAAATTTGAAATTTTACATTCGTTCTCATGTTCCATAATTTCAAAAGCATGTAAAGTTCCAAAATCAACTGTTGGAATTGTTATAAAAAATTATAAGGAAAACAAAACTGTAAAAAGATAATCAAGATTTCCCAAAAGAAAGCAAAATCAATAGTCGACTCAATTCATCAAAATCTGACTCAACAAGATTTAGCTACAAAGTTTAAATGTTCCGTTCAAAGAGTATACAAAAAGAAAAATCAAAAAGAAAGGTACTTTTTTTTGTAATATGTTTTAAAATTTATGTATTTTAGAAGACGAAAAAAAATATACTCTAAAAATAAAATCACTGGGTGCTTCCAGGTAATCAATACTATTATCAGTAAAAACATTATAAATCATTTGACAAATTTAAGTACATTCAAGTTGAAAAATTTGTTGTAAAAAAAAGTTCGTTGTATTGCAGGTTATTTGCAGTTGTGGTTTTAAAAGTTTTTTTTTCATAGCAATTCAATCTTTCACACCAGAAATATATGGAACTGAATGCTTGAAAAAACAACTTCTTCTTCAAATAAAAAGCACAAACAGTCAACCCTATTTTGGCCAGATTTGGCATTGTCCCACTATTCTAAAAAGTTATGCAGTGGTATAAGAAAAAAAAGGTAATTTTGTTCCAAAAGGATGCTAATCCACCAAACTGTCCTGATCAGCGAGTTATCGAATCTTACTAAGCAATTGTGATGGGACTAATAGGGAAAAAAGGCAAATCTGAAAATAGCGTTCAAAATTGTCCAAAATTTATGGATCAATGCTACAAAAAATGTGACGCAAATTATTTGCATGTTTTTAAGTTAAATTTAAATTTATTTTTGTTTAAATTAAAACTAATTATGAAGCATCATTATAAAAAATATTATTACAATAGGTTGAGTGGTTTTTGAGAAAACTCAATTTAAAATTGTCCAAATTTCAACCGATCATGGTGATTTTTAAAATATATTTTTATTTTCATAATATTTTTAGATTGATGCACATGAAGAAGGTATTCAGATTAGTGGTTTTTTAAAACTTGTTCGCAGAGGACAGAAAGATAAACGGTGTTGGTTTGTGTTGAAAGATCATGTGCTTTATAAATATAAAGCTTCTTCAGTTAGTTTCTCAAATAAGATGTTTACATTAAAAAATACTAATCTAAATTGTTTGAGTGATAATATTATTATTTTAATGTAGGATCCTGCTGCAAAAACCACAACTCCTATTCTTGGATACGGTGTTGAGGTTTTAGGAAATGTAAGTTAATATTTTAAGATGTCTAAGTTATAGTATTGAAGCTTTGGAAAATTTATGTTGTTGATCATAAATAAATTACTTTAGACTAATATTAAAATTTTTAAAAATAAACTCTTATTTAGTTGGAAGAAGATTTTATGTTTGCTCTTACACATGCTGGTCTTAAAGAACCACTTACATATAAAGCAGAAAGTAAAACCTCTGCTGAAAGGTTTGATTTTTTTTTTTTACCAATCAGTGGCTGATTAATGATTTACTGTAGATTTATTATATTATCATATTAATATTTAATTTTTCAAGTTTTTTATTTAGTACTAATCAGGTTGTGATGTTCAGATAAAGGTTGCATAGAATTGATTTTGCATAGTTATATTGAGGTTTATTTTTTTAAAGTAATATTAATATTTATTTAGGGATGAGCAAAAATATTCGATTAATTGGATATCCTATTTTCCGGTCCAATATCCAATTTAAAAAATCCAAAAGTTTGGTTATTCGAACCAGAAAAAGTGGTCTGGTTATCTGATCCTTTTTTCTTTTAATATTCGGATCCCGATTCGGATCACAAACTATTAAAAAATCAGATATCCTGATCTGATCTGGTTTTCTGCACTTATTAAAAAAATAATAACTTTAATGTATATGAGATGCCTATAAGTATCCTATATCAACGCTTAATGACTCACAATCTGTATTAATTACCCAGAGATCGTTAAATATAATAAAATAAATTGAATTGTGAATGTAAATGATCACATCGCTACTTACGCATGTGTTGCCCATTTGATAGACTGATACAAAATTACATTATAAATAGTGCATAGTATAAATAGTACATAATACTTAATGAAATTGATGGACTGATACATAATTACGTTATAAATAGTACATAATATAAGTAGCACATAATACTTAATGAAAATTCATAGAGAAATTTCTTGTTATTTACTGACTCAAAGTCTTCTAAAACTATTCATTAGCTCAAGATCCTTGAACTTAATTTAAATTTTGTTTATTCTGATTGAATCTTTTCCCAGGCTTCTTTAATTGCATCTTTTCTGGAAAATGACCAATCTCCAATTTTTCAGTCTAAAATTTCCCACAAATGTTTAATGGGATTAAGGTCCGATGATTGTGCGGGCCATCAAAATTATTTTCAGCAAACCACTTCTGGTTTTCTTCTTGGTTTTAGTGGCACTATGCTTGGGATCATTATCTTGCTGAGAAGTTTTCAAGCAGATGACTTCAAATTTTGCTTTATATGTTTCTGTGTTGCACCTGATCCATTATAGTACCAATAAATTGGAGTCCTTAAGTTGAAATTTTGATTTGTCGCTCCACAAGATTATTTTCCAGAAACTTAACAACATGTTTTTCAACTTCTTAGCAAACTCCAATCTTCTTTTCATGTGTTTCTTACTCAACTATGGTTTATTACATAAATATCATCCTTGAAATCCCTGGTCTTGGATACGATTTCTGATTGTCTGATGGGATAATTTGATTCCATAGTTCTCTTCATCTTGTTCAGCCAGTTTTCAAGCAGAAATGAAGCAATTTTTCTTGAGTTGTATAATTAAGTATTTATCAAAACTCTTAGAAGTCTTTTTTTTGCGACCCTGCCCTTCTTTTGTGCCTGTTGTTCTGATCAAATTATACTTCTTCATTATATTGGATACTGTATTATGAGGAATTCTAGTCTCTTGATGCACCTGATGATAGGTTTTACCCTGGTTGACTAGATCGACAGCTAAATTTCTCTGAGAAACAGTCCAGTGATATTTACCTCCAACAATTTTACTTGAAAAAACATGTTCAGAAAAACTTTTTTTATACAAAACTTTTTTTTTTACAACAAAAAAACAGTTTTTTGTTATGCAATTTCATTAATTGCATACAAATTTGCTAAAGTATTTCAACAAGTTTTACATAAAATTAATTAAACTTACCTAAATATCGCTTGGTTGGATAATTTTTTTTACAAGACTATTCAATACTAAGTTTCTTTTAGGGTAAATAATAAACCAACTGAAGCATGAATCAAAAAATATTAACGCTAAATAATTGTTGAAATTCGGATTTCAACAAACCGAACCGGATATCTGGGTTTGCTCACCCCTAGTTGTATTAAAGATATGATCGCGTCAATGAGATAAATGTTATGTTAAAATGTAGTTGAGTTTTGGGGTATTATAGTTATGTATTATTATGTATTATAGTTATTTATTGTTATGTATTACAGTTGCGTATTATTATGTATTATAATTATTTGTTGATATGTATTACAGTTGTGTATTATTATGTTTTATAGTTATTTATTGTTATGTATTGCAGTTCTGTGTTATTATGTATTATAGTTATTTATTGTTATGTATTACAGTTGTGTATTATTATGTATTATTGTTATTTATTGTTATGTTTTACAGTTGTGTCTTTTTATGTATTATTGTTATTTATTGTTATGTATTACTGTTGTGCACATTTCCCCACAACAGTGTTTATGTTTCAAAAAAGTGCACACGCCCAAATTAAGTTTTTCTAGCAAAATATGATTATAGTGTACACAAAAAAGTGTACAAGTGTGTCCTAAAAAAAATGGTGCTTATTGTAATATAAAAAAAGTGTATTTTTTTCTCATTAACATTTTACAGAAAAACAACTGGTTTAGAATGAGGTTCATAAAAGAACTTATTTAAGGCATAGACTAGAAGCTACTAAGCTAACTTTTTTATAAATACCATTATTTAAAATTTTATAAATAAAAATCATATAAATAAATCAAAGAATCCTATCTAAGTCCATGAAAAAATATTTAAGTTTAAACATTTTTTTAGCTGATATAGACTGAACATAATAAAACCTCAAAATTCTCTCCGCATTGTTTAAAAGTACAACACATGATAGATAGTTTTTGTATTTTTTTGTTCCTATCTTGTTGTTAGGTTATTCCACAGTAGATTAATTGTTCCTGAATAGAGATAAAGTTGGGGTATATTGCATACTTCTATAACTTCAGTTTTCATCCTCTCCTGGCAGAAGTGGTTAATTCTTTCAATTATAAAATTCTTTCAGTGATGAGTCAGAATTACATTCTTGTTTCCAAGCAAGATTTTGCTCTCTAATTGATCCAAAGGTTTTACAGAATCAACAAGGATACTTTGAACTATGATTTTGAAGTTGTAAAATCAAGTTAAGTTCAAATCAGCACAAATTTTAAATTGAAAACTGAATATTTCAATACTTTTGAAAAAGACAGTTTTCATAATTCTCCTAAATACTTGGAATGTTCCTAAGAGTAATGTCTAATAAAAGGATGTTTTTTTTTTCAGGTTTGGACAAATGCCCTCGGAATAGTTTGATCTCTTGGTGGTATCATCACTAAAGTAACTTACCACATCAATAGTACCGATTCTAAGCTTAAAGAAACCTCCACCACCATCAACAAAAACTCTAACCTTAACATTAAAAGTGTCTTGTTTTCTTATTTCAGTCATTTTCCTGGTGAGTTATTCCACATCTTTAACAAAAACAACAGGTCACACAATTAAAGTTTCAGTTTCCGAATTATAGAAATCAAGATCAACTGCTGAGAAGTACTCTACTAAAGAAACATTGTTATATACCATGAATTCTTTAAATTTAGTTTCTATTGATTTTTGTCTGTTCTTAACCCAAATTGCTTTTGATATTGCATTCATATCAAAACCAGGAAATTTTCTTTCAACCTTAATGGTCATTAAATCTTTGTGACTCCATTCTGCAGTAGGCTTTATTGATCTTTTTAAAACTGTAAATGTTTCTCCTCCTGTTTTAAGGGATGCAATTTCTGATTTTTGAAGCTTTTCTTTTATAGAGAGCGACTAGTTCCCACAGGGCTTTTTATGTAGTAATAATACTCTGTTACAGGTGTTACATATTCCAGTCACAAAGAGTGGATTATCAATGTTATAGTTCGGTAAAACCAATATTTTAATGAGTATCAAAGCTGTAACTGAAAGTGTTCTGTCTGCTTTTTGAAAGCATATACAGTAGCATTTATGACGAGCATCAAAGTGTGTTACTGCAAAATTAGGCATATAAAAAAAAGTACTAATGATTAAAGTAATAGTTAACCAAAAAAACTAACTGTAAGTACCTATCATAATTTATAACTATTTTTTAATATTTTTAAAAGGTTTCTGGTTTTTTTACTGGTTTGTAGCAATTTAATATAGTAGTAGTAGTAGTAGCAGCAGCAGCAGCAGTAGTAGTAGTAGTAGTAGTAGTAGTAGTAGTAGTAGTAGTAGTAGTAGTAGTAGTAGTAGTAGTAGTAGTAGTAGTAGTAGTAGTAGTAGTAGTAGTAGTACTAGTATGAAAATCTGCAGCACATTTAAACAAGGGTTAAATAGTGTGGAGCACATCAACTGTAGATGATGCCCTATGGCAGTTTTGATGAATAATTGTCCATATTGTCAAGCAATATCTTGATTGACTTTACATCTTTGGCATTCGTTATCTGCTCGGATAGGTCATTTCATTTAGAGACAATACGATTAGTAAAAAAGTGATGTCTAGACTGATAATTTCTTATTATTTCCCGTCTTAGTTGTGATCGAGTTTGGTTAGCACGAGCTGAAATAATTATTTGCGGTTTAATCCATTGTATATTATTGATGTTTTGTAATATTTTATATTTCTGAATCATATCGTCATGCTCACGTCATGATCTAATGGGGTGATCATCGTGTCACCCTATGTTGAAATGATTCAAGAAGATTTATATATGTATGTATATATATATATATGTGTGTGTGTATATATATATATATATATATATATATATATACACCCAGCTAGCATATTAACATTGGCCCAACATCGAAAAATTTGTTGGCTGATGGTCGGTAACCAACATCACCACAATGTGGATTTGGAAGTCGGCACGATGTCGCAGCCAACTGTTGGGCTAATGTTGGCCCAACGTCAACATCCGGCGTTGGGCGATCATCGAGTTCTAACATTGGTCCAACTTAATAATATATATATATATAAGAATCTTTACAATTTTGATTCATTTGATAAGCACGTGCTTACTAATTCATATGTAATATTCATTAAAACTATTACATCGATTTTTTTTTCTCTAAATAAGTTTGAATAATTTTTTTTCGTGAAATAAAAATTGATTTTTATGCTGATAAATAAAGCAACTTGATTTCATAATAACACAGA